GGGGACTGAGACTGCATTTTGTTCCTTCTCTTTGTCATTTTGTATACCACTGTCTTCTGACCTTTGGTGTAGAGCTTAGATAGAGTTATTACCTTAGTACCAGGTCTGGATCTATGAAGTTCGGATTCCTCCAGGTGGGTATTGCTTGGATCTGGCTGTGTGCTCCACTTCTTTCTGCTGCACGTGTTGAGTTGAACCCTTTGTGTCTCTCTGGCAAGATGTTCTGCTCCTGAATCAGCTGGGTGGGTCTTGCCTCTAGCCTCTTTGCAGGGAGTTTTGAAGGGTTCCATGCTGGGCCTACACTCTGGGTCAATGAGGATCTGTGGGCCCTGGGTGGTCTCACTCACTCGCCAGGCCTGGGCTCTGGGTCTATTCAGCATCCAGTGGGCCCCGGGTCGTCTCACCCACTTGCCAGGCCTGCACTCTGGGTCTGTTCAGGATCCCGTGGCCTCAGTCAGGCCTGTGCTCTGGGTCTATTCAGGATCACGCGGCCCCAGTCGTCTCACTCACTTGCCGTGCTTGAGCTCTGGGTCTGTTCAGGATCCCACAGCCTCGGTCAGGCCTGTGCTCTGGGTCTATTCAGGATCCGGAGGGCCCCGGTTGTCTCACTTAGGAATTAATTCTTACAATGTATATCATACTGGCTAGCTATGTATCACAGTGACCGGCCAGAAACTGGAGCTAGAACTATTATTACCTGGGCAACAAACAAATCGAAATACACTAGCTGGGTGGGGGCATCTTCTGCTACACTTAGAGAAACAAACTGGCAGGTGGAAATGATACAGTGCCACTTGCCCTGTCATATGGGCTTGTCTAAAGTGCTGGGGACAGAGGACAGAGAAATTAATTCTGCCTGGAGGTGGGACCAACCAGAGATGATATTTGAATTGGGTTTTGTAGGACATATAGGAGTTTGCAGTGTGAATCAGCATCCAGGAGATGGGGAGCAGGAATAGCAAGAGCCACGTCCCAAGAAAGGGAAACTAGAGTGTTCAGGGGCGGCCCACAAGGGTCACTCGTACTTTACTGTGGGCCAAGGCCCTGTTGGAGCTGGGACGGGAAATCAGAGCTGTCGTGCACAGCGAGGCTGGCTCCCTGGGAGGGAGGATGTGGTATGTAAAGAGTGACTTCAGGCTGAGAGGTCTCAGGAGTTGAGCCGGCACCCAGACAGCAGGTCTGTGGACACAGTACCACAGATGGTTTCCATCACCGGAAGAAAGATGCGTGTGGAGCCCGTCAGAGACGTGGCTGTGGAGGTTGGCCGATCCATGGAGCCTGGAGTGGAGCACACAGGGGCAGGGGGCAGCTCCCTTCCGTGTGGACCCCGAGAATTTCCCAGGCAGAAGCTGGAGCAGGGCCTTTATTCATTAGTCCTTCATCTGCAGCAGGACCCAAGCTCCCCAGGTGACCCCAACACTCAGCCAGGGCTGAGAACCACAGACACAAAGGACAGCAGCGGGCCGAGCATGCAGGCCTGGAAGCCACTCCTAGCAAAGCCGGGCAGAGCTCCTGGACCCCAGGGAGGGACAGACAGGGAACCCTTTTCAAGCAGAGGATGGATGGATGGATGGAGGCAGGGGAGGCTGACAATTCTGGGGAACAGTGAGTTGACCTGGAGAGCCCTCGGTGAGAGGGGGTGCCAGTCTGGACCCGAAGCCTCCGCAGGTGAAGCACACAGAAAACATTAAAACACTGCTGCAGGGCGCCGGGGAGATGGCTCAGAAGAAAACACTGCTGCAGGGGATGAGAGATGAGTGGAAGCGCATCTCGCGTCCGTGGGAGGCCTCGGTAAGAGGGCGGCGCTGCTCCAGTCGACCTGTCTGCAACGTAGAGTCTGTGCAAGGATTCTCATGAGGAGTTTTGGGTTTTGTTTTTTTACAAAAATAGGAAAAGTTACCCTAAAATTCCTATGGAATTTCAAAGGACCCTGAGTATCAAAAAAAAGAAACTCTTAGGCAAGAGGAAAAATAGAAGAAAGTTGGAGGCTTCACTCTTCCTGATCTCAAGCTTACTAGAAAGCTACCAATAATGAAAAATAGTGCTGTACTGGGGGCGGGGAGACTGGCAGGACTGGGCAGAGAGCCAGGAATAAGCCATCACGTTTATACGGTCAGGTGGCTTCTGCCAAGGGCGCCGAGGGTGCCAAGGCCACACAGCACGGAGAAGGCGGCCTCTGCAGCAAATAGTGCTGGGAACGCCAAGCATCCGCGTGTGAAGGAACAGAGTTGCGTCCTGACCTCACACCAGGCACACAGACCAACTCAGATTAATCAGAGGCCAAGTGTAACTCAGAAGAAGCACAGGGGAAAGCCCGTGGCGTTGGCCTTGGCCCTGAGGCCTTCCCTGCCACACCATCGCCACAGGCAACGAAAGGAGACATAGACGAACTTATCAAATCAAAGACTACTCTGCATTAAGACACAGAGGAGTGGAAAGGCAGCCTGGTGGATAAGGAAATGTCTGCAACTCGCCTGTCTGATGAGGGGTTAAAGACCCAGTGTGTATGGAGAATTCCTACAACTCAACAACAACTAACCCGATTAAAAGTGGCAAAGAGGGGCCAGGGATATAGCTTAGCAGCATAAGCACCTGCCTGGCAAGCTCAAGGTCCTGAGTTCAATCCCTGGTACCACAAAAAAAATAAAAATAATAAAAATAAAAATGGCAAAGGGCCAGGGATATAGCTTGGCAGCACAGTGCCTGCTTGGCAAGTGCAAGGTCCTGAGTTCAATTCCCCAGTACCAATAATAATAATAATAATAATAATAATAATAATAATAAACATTAAAAATGGAGAAGGATTTACATAGGCTTTTCTGAAGTAAGCACATGAAAAGATGCTCCACTTCATTATTCGTCGAGAAAATGCGAATGAATATCATAATGAGACGCCACCTCACACCCGCCAAGGCGACCACCGGAACAACCCACAGAGAGCAAGTGTGGAGAATGTGGGCAGACCCAGACCCCTGTGGCCTGTGGGTGGAGGGGAGATGGCAGAGATGCTGTGGAAGAGGTGTAATGACTCCCCAAGAAAACTCAACCTATGATGACCTCATGTCCAGCAACCCCACTTCTGGGTACGCAGCCCAAAATACCCAGAAGTGAGGTCAGGACAAGTTATTGGTAGACCTGCAGCTGGCTGGGGCAGCCCTCACGAGATGCTTCGGTCCAGCGGCCTTCACATCAGGTCTGTGGGCTGAAAAGTCTGAGCCACTGGGGGGGGGGCAGGGAGGGTTCCCCTGTGTCTTCTCCTTGGCTGGCAGATGGCGCCACCCTGTGTCCTCACATAGCCGTCCCCATGTGTCCTTATCTCTCCTCATCAAGTTACGGGAGGATCTCAGTAAGAGACCGGATCTCAATACCCATCCTCCTGCTGGGGAGGGTGAAGAGGTCCTGGGTGGCTGTGGGACTGAGGAGGCCACTGAACTATACTGTGAAAACGTTTGGGGCCGGACACAGCTCAGACGCAGGGCACCCACCGTTTGCATGGCAGTGGGGGCACGTTGTGGTGAGTTGTGTGCATTCAGTGAAAATGCTCAAATAAGAAGAAAGGGTAAGGAGCCGGGCGGGTGTTCCTGGAGCGGAGGGGCTCCCAAGGCTGAGGGCAGCAGGCCCAGGGCCAGAGCAGGCCCTGAGACCAGACGCGTGCACGCTAGCTAAGGTGTCTGTCCTGGCCTGCCTTGGTCCCTGCCCCTCCACCTGGATGCTGTGGGCTCGGCTCTCCTAACTGCTGTGGTGTTGTTTGCCCAGGAGACACGATACCTCCTTGGGCCACTCCAGAGATAAAGTCCTGCCTGTCAGCCACTGCCCAGGGTGTCCCCAACTGGAACCTGCTCGTCTCCACCCCCTACTGCCTTCGTTCCCTTTCTGTCCTTTCCATCACTGGGTGGCAGGAGGTGATGACTGCTGTGTCTGGAAGGTGGCCAGCACCTTTGAAGGGGCTGGCTGACATTACTCACGGCCTCCTCTCTCCCGCGTGCCATCTACAGCCTTCTTTCCACTCTGGTCCTTGGGGGAGGGCTGGGAAGGGGAGGGTGAGCCCCCTTTGGATCTCACAAACCCCTGGGGCTTCTGTCTTCATCAGAACCTCTCTGTCTCTCCCCCAGGACCTGAGTTCCCTTGCCATGCCGCTTCTCGACGGAGACCTGGGCAGCTCAGAAAAACATCCCTCCCGCAAGGTAGGTCAGGTCCCTTCCTGAAGCTGCGTGAGCAACTGGGGCGGTGGAGGCAGGTGGAGCCCCAGACACGTGGCATCCGTGCACTCACGGTGCCCAGCAGTACCCAGCAGTGCCAGCGCCCCTCTCTCCCGCATACCCCACTTTCTAGCTCACTGCTCTCCTCCCAATGCTGTCTCTGCCAGCAGGAAACCCCACTTCTGAGACTGCTGGCGGGCAGGGCCGGGGGCTTCAGAATGCAGGCCGGGGTGGCCACAGCGGAGAGGGCGTCCAGGCAGCCTGCCTGGTATCTCCTGCAGTGGGGAAGTGAAGGTGGGGCCAAGGCCCAGGCAGGAAGTGCTCCCTGGGCGTCCCGTGGCCCACAGAGCCTGAAGCAGGTACCCGCAGGGAGAGCCGGCCAGGTGCTTGGTGCTGTCTGGGAGCACACAGGCTGGGTGGGAGGATTGCCCTGCTAGAAAGGCAGATCTGGTCTCTGGACGTGTTGTTACATACAGAACGATCAGCAAATCGGCACAGCCCGCTTAGACATTGGCTCAATGCCGCCAGCCTGCTGTACGCGGAGCAGGAGGCCTGATGAGCAGATCACCTGTTCTCCTTGTTTCCTACCTGGGGACTGGAATCGCCTTCCCCTGGGGACACTATTCTCCTAAGACTCTCTCTCTGTGGACACCGCTGTGCTCTGGGCAGGCGAGCAGAGACAACAGCTGGGTTCCCATGGACCTTGCTGCCTAGGGTTTCCTAGGCTGCCCACTCACAACCAGCCAAGACTGGGGGGCGGACAGTATGCGCCATCCCAGGACCACCCACAGACTCCAGAAACCTCGAATTTAGGTGACACACAAGCCCCCGTCTGGATAGGCAGAGGGAGGGAAACACCTACCTCTGTTAATTTCCAAATCACCTATAAAATCTTATCTGTCCCTTTGTGTGGGGACCTCAGTTCCAAAGGAGCAGCCCCTGGGGAGGGGACCGCAGTCAGATCCTGCTGACATCTGGCTCCCTGTGTGGATGTCACTAGAGTGCTGCTGGGAGCCCAACACAGAGAGGAGGGAAGCAAGGGTGTGCCCGAGCCATGGCTGTCGCCAAGGAGGGGGATGTGAGGAACCCGAGGAGGAATGAGGCAGAGGGGCTGTGGCCAAGTCTGCCCTCAGGAACCTTTTGGTTGCCGATGTAGCATGCACGAGGCTCCAGTCACTTCCACCCGGGCAAGGATGGATGGGTGTGACGCTGCGGGTCCTGGGCTCCGGCCCCCCAGTGTGTGCATCTAGATGGGAGAACGGCTAGAGAACAATACGAACGCTTCCCCAGGTCAGAGTTCTGCATCACAGCTGAGCCAGGCCTGCATTGAGGCTGCTTGGCGTTCAGATATGCGGGACTGGACTACGTATCAGGCTGGGGGTGCAGCCAGTGGGGGAGGAGCTCCCCGCCCCTTCCAGCTTGTGTCTGCGTCTCTGTGCCTGTGCACAAGAGCGTACACACCACGGAGCAGTGCTCCTACGAGGAAGGGTAAACTCAGGTCATTTGTAGGAAAGTCCATGCATGAGGTTGAGCCCGGAGTGATAAGTGTAATAAACCAGACAAACAAGCTTCAGCACCCTGTGGCTCCTCTCCTGTACGAGAAATCTGGAGTACAAATGAAGTGAAAAATAGGCACATGGTGCATGCGCCTGTGATCCCAGCACTCGGGAGCTGAGGCAGGAGGATCACTGAGGGTTCAAGGCCAGCTTGGGCTACAAAGTGAGCTCAAGGCCAGCCTGAACTGCATAGTGAGACCCTGTCTCAAAAATAAATAAATAAATAAATAAATTGCAAAATAAAAGACAGATAATAGGGAACAGGGACATAGATCTTTTGCAAAAGGGAAGGGGATTGAGAGATGGAGGGAGAAGGAAGGAAGAGGAGGATAGGAGATGAAGAAAGAATTAAGCTGCGCCGTGCACAGGGGCTAACTCCCCACGAGGAAGGTGATCATCATATAGTGTCTCAGCTACTTTTCTCTCGTGGCTGGAACAAAACCCCGACACCCAAAATTAAGGAAGGAAGGGTTTATTTGGCTCTCAGGTGGAGAGCCTCTTAGTGGAGGTTTCGGCCCATACTCAGCTGGCTCCAAGGCAGAGGACAGCAGTTCATGGTGGCGGGACACAGCAAAACAGCAAGAGCAGAAAAGCAGGAGGAGCACTGGCAGAGAGCCGGCCCCTCTCCCTCCCTCATACTGCACTCAGACTGCCTGCCCCAGGGTGAGCGTAGCACCCACACCTGTAATCCCAGCACCGGGCCAAGAATTAATCACAAACTAGACGCCCCATGACTGCATGAGGCTTGGGGGGGGACACCTAGACACAAACCATAACATGCAGCAAATATGACCTAAAAAAACCAGAGTTTTTAAAAGATCCCTGTCCATTAGGGAGCCCGGCCCTCTTTGACAGTGGCCACTGAACACTGGCTGCCAGGCCACTCAGCCCTGTGTGGCCCCCACGTGTGGGCCCTTGGCCCCCTCTGGCTGTCTGAGCCCCCAGGTGCTCTTGAGCAGGCTGGGCTGGGGTGTTAGGGGCACAGTGCTGCGTCATAGCTCCCTACTCCCACCTGCGGCTCCTCCCCAAGAACTCCTTGTGTCCAACGACGCAGTGCCAGAGAGCAGCTCGGGGCCACAGGACAGAGCCAGGTCCCCTTCCTGGGCTGACACCCCGGGCTCCTTCGACACACCACCACCTCCACTCAACTGACCGGCCTGGGATGCCACGGAAGGTCCTGGTGCAGCGAGGGGCCGTGGGTTTTCTCCCCTCTGTGCCTTGATCCTGGGACCATCGCCACCTCTTCTATTTGTCATTCCTGACAGTGACCTCCGTGTGCCCTCGGACATTCTCAGAACCTGTCCACCTTAGCCAGCCAGGGCTGGCAACTGGGCTGAACTTTTGCTGCAACGACGGAATGAAATCACGGGAAGTGCTGGCCTTAGTCCCCGGGGCTGATGCGGGTACACAGGTGTGACGTCAGTGCGTCCACGTGCCACGCGGAAGGGCACCCATAGCTTGCTCTCCTGACTCGGTAGCGACCCGTGGGCAGGACTGTGACCCCATGTATCTTTAATGCTGGCCCTGAGGACACTTCCCAGCTCGTCTTCAGCTCTCCTTGGGTCCCTTAGGCAGGCGGGAGTGCAGCTGAACTGAGTTCTGCGCAGGGGAGGCTTGTCCAGGTTCCTGGTGTCCCCAGCGAAGCATGGAGCGAGACACCCGGAAAGCGGCAAGAGGAGGATTCATCAAAAAGGGGTCGTGAGAGTGATCCAGAAAAGTTAGATCCACTCTGCGGAACAGAAGCAGCCAGCGAGATGGGGCAGGACGTTATGGCTCCCCCACAGGACCGGGAGGTGCTGACTGCGCAGGGTTCTCAGAGGAAGTGTCATGCTGCCCAAAGCCCACGGTGGGGGTCAAAACTACAGTGCAGATGAGCTGGGGGTCCACAGCCCTCTCTTTTTACTTCTTTTCTGTCTCTCACCTCCCTCTGGTTAAGTAATCAGAAAAAGCAAAGCTTGAACTTCTGCAGCACAAGGCAGGGCTGGTTACAGTCTTACTCGTCTGTCTCCAGGGCACTTGGGAAGAGCTGCTGCCCAGCCAGCCCCACTCCTCGTGTGGCCGCACTGGTTCTTTAGGGTCAGGTCCAAAATCCACAGGGGAGGTTGGTGCTCCCCGAAGGCGGCACCCCTGCCTGGTCCTTCCAGAACTGAGCAAGCCCAGGGCTCAGGGCGCCCTCTAGTGGTGGGAGAGGCCAAGTAAGGGCATCGCGCAATGTCTGGATCTCGGGGCACCTTTGGGGCATAGTTCTGGTCGCTGGAAGGCAACATTCCGAGTTTCACTCTTGTCCTAAGGTACCATGAGGATCATTACTTTCCTTTCCCTGTGCAGAACTGGGGCCCACTGTGGCTGACCCCCTACTGACCTCCTACTGTCTCCAGGACTACAAGTTGACCGAGTAACAGGGTGGTCACAAATGCGTGCACACGGCGCTGTCACTGTGAATCACCCTGCACCAGCTTTCACATATACACTCCCAGTTGGCATTTTCTCAGTCTAAGGATGCCCTGTCCTCGCTGCACAGGGAGGAAACCGAGGCAGCAAGCTGGAGGAACGTGTCCCGATCACATAGCAAGGGCTGGGGCCGCCACCCAGGCAACCTCCTGAGCCCCGCTGCAGCGTGCAGAACAGTTCTCGTAGATGTGTGCCTCGGCCTATCATTATGGGTCTGACAATTTTTAAACCCATAACTAAAGTATGAAACTACCAGTGAAGCAGGTCTCTAAGATCTGCTGGCATTCTTTCTGCACACAGCAGCTTGGGGCTGGGGCTGGGGCTGGGGCTCAAGGGTAGAGTGCTCGCCTCACAGGCTGGAAGCCCTGGTTTCCATTTCTAGCCAGGAAAAAGACAAATATCCTCGTCTTGTAGCAGGGCCCTCAGCACGCAGCCCCCGGCCCACTCCATTCTGGATCACGGGGCTTTGTGCTTCCTCCTGGGGGCTGGGGAGCAAAAGAACCGTGCTCCTGTGTAGTCAGACCTGACGGCCAGACAGCTGAAGTCCCGGACGGGGGTGGCCGTCTGTGCCTCTCTCCCACCCGTCCTCCCTTCCTCTCACTTCCTGGAAGCCCTTCCTGAGAGCTGGGCCAGGTGGTCAGGGGCCCCCCGGGGCAGTCTAGCCTCAGGGCAGTTGCTGACCTTGACCCACAGTGGACACCTCTGTGGAAGGGCTCAGGGCCATTTCTCGGCAGCTCGATGAGAAAGGATGGTCGTGTTGCACTCAGGACAGGGCAAAAGTCAGTCCTCAGAGCGCTGCAACCTCACCCTCTTGTTTCTCCGCAGGTGGACAGCCCCCTCGGCTCGGGCAGCCCCTCCAGAGGGCTCTTCTCCAGAGGCCCTCAGGCCCGGCCCTCCAGCCCCATGTCTGCACCCGTGAGACCCAAGACCAGCCCGGGCTCTCCCAAAACCCTGTTCCCGTTCTCCTACCAGGAGTCCCCTCCGCGCTCACCGCGCCGCATGAGCTTCAGCGGGATCTTCCGCTCCTCCTCCAAAGAGTCTTCACCCAACTCTAATCCATCGACCTCACCCGGGGGCATCAGGTTCTTCTCCCGCTCCAGAAAAAGTAAGACACTGGTGCTATGGTTTCAGGTGGGTGCCGGGCTGCGGGGACCTTTGCTAGAGCCACTGAGCCAGGGCCACCTGCCGCGTGGCTGTGGGGTGGCTGTTGATGACTTGGGGTGTGTGTGTGTGTGTGTGTGTGTGTGTGTGTGGCCCGAGAGCAAATCGCTGTCCAGGGCATCAGTGCCCACCTGTCACTTGGGTCCTTCCTGTACGACGAGCTCCATGGGGCTCACTGGAAAGATCCGGGGCTCACAGTCGGCTGCAAGGACAAACGCTGGCCTCCTGCCATCTCTCGAAACCAGGGCAGGCCTGGCTTCTGCAACCCCGTCTCCATCCTTGTGGCTTGGTATTTGGAGGAGGGCTTTGTATTTGCTTTTGGCAGGTCCTGGCTTCTCTTTGGGGGGCTCTGGACGGCGGGGATGGGATGCTGGGACGGATTTGCTGGAAAAGCAGCAGGAGTGTGTGTCCTGAGAGATAGTCCTTCGGGTTCTTGAGTATTTGTGATGCGGAGATGAAAATGTCCTCCCGAGCGCTGCCGATCTCGCTCCTTGAGGCACTGGCCGACGGGGCGGGCGGGGCGTGCTTCCTCCTTTCCAGTGTCTGCCGTTCCTGGTTCTTTCCGCTGGCTTGAAGCAGTGGCATTTGGGAAGACAGTGAATGCAGTGGATCCCAAGGGCCAGGCCATTCTGCGTTCTGATGTAGTGGAGCAATCTGCCATCCTTAGGGCTGGCTGCAGCAGCCACCTGCCGAATGAAAAGACTTTCATTCTTTCCAGGCTATAGGAAGCGGGGGAGGGTGTTCCGCCTCTCCCCTTCGTGTCTAGTCCCCCTCATGCCACCTCCCCAGTATGACAGCATTCCTGCCTCTGCATGACCCCAGCGTAAAGACACAAAGTCCTGGGATTGAGGGGTTGATTGCTGGGGCGGCTGAGTGATCCTCAGAGTGGTGGGACTGGGAACGTGGTTGGGAGCGCCATCTACAGAGCCCGGGAGGGAGCAGAAAGCTGCAGCGCTACAGCTGTGATGCTCTAGAGCTTGCCCAGGTTCCTGGCCCCGCATCCCAGATACAGTTGTCCTTGGTTTCCATGGAGACCGGTCCCAGGACCCACTGCCGATAGCAGAATCAGAGAGTACTCAAGCCCCTTGAACAAGCTGGTGCAGTGTGTGCAGGTAACCTCTGCCTCTTCTATACAGACCATCTTCTGGTTGCTTATGGGGCCTAAAGCAACGCTCAGAACACCATCTTCGCAGTGCACTGTTTAGGACAGGAAGACAAGGAAAGAGCGAGCCACACATGCTCTGTGAGGATGCAGATTAGGACCAGTACTTTGGCTCTCTGGTTGGCTGACTCTATGGAGCCCACAGACGCACAGGACCAGCTGTAGGTCATCGTGGTTCCCCCTCTCAGTGGAGGGAGCAGTAGAGACCCTCGTGGGGACAGCAGGGGCAGTTTCTGGTCAGGCGGTGCCAAGCCTGTGTCAGCGCTAACCGAGTCGGCTGTATCCACCCCCCAGATCCGCCGAAACACAGCATCACAGGCTGCTGCTGAGAAGCAGTTGTGTCTCAGGCCAGGCAGAAGTACAAGGGACAGGCTCAGGCAGGGCCATGCCTGCCGGAGGTACGGGGGGAGGGCTCGCTGTGCCTCTCCCTCTTCTTTCGAGGAGATTGTGTTGGATTAATGACCTTCCCTACTTCAGTACATTAAATACAGCTGCAGTGGCCCTGTTTCCAGAAACCAGCCCATTGCAAGGTTCTGGGAAGGGCACGCACTTCAGGGATACGACGACTGGTTTACCCTTAGGGGTGAGGCAGCAGTGTGGGCATTTCCTTGTGATGAGGGGGCTGGGTAGAGCCAAGGAGGTGAGGGCTGTCAGCAGGGCAGCTCCCAGGTGTCACACGAGTTGGTGCAGCCATGCAGGACTTGGCTTGGTGCCCCGTTGAAAGCTGACCCTGGCCCCCTCCTCTGGGGGCCCTCACTGCCCAGGAACATGCTGCAGAATCCTGGCGCTGGTCCTTCATGCTCGGCTTCCTTAGAGAAACTCCCCGGGATGCTCCTCTGACCAGACCAAGCCTGGTCCCCGGGCAGCTGTTCATTTTCTTGTCCTTGAAGCATGGAGCCCAGCTTTCAGCCTGACCAACCCTGTCTCTAACAAGTGCCAGGGTCCAGCTCTGCATCCAGGTAGGGTGTGTGGTTCCAGCACTCAGGGTGGGCCACCCTTCGTGCTTTCCATTTGGCTTTACAGTTGTAGTTGGTGTCATACTGACTTGGAGGTGGATGTGGCGGTTAAACTGCACTGTATCACCTTGATTGGTGGGGGAGCTGCCCTGGGGATTGGTGGAGCGCGCTTCTGGGTGTGGCAGGTATGCTGTGGAAGTGCGACCAAGGGTCTAGGTCCTTACTCTGGCTCTCTGGCACTGGCCCCTTCTCTGCTTCCTGCTGGCGTGGCCTAGGCAGCTTTGGTCCACCACGATGCTTCTGCCCTGGAATCTGCAGACCAGGATCCGATCGTGGACCACAGTAAGCCTGTCTTTTTCTAAGTCGTGGGTGTTGCATATCACGTTCCAACAACGGGAAAATGGATACAGTAGACGCCATATCTACTTTCCTAAAGCTTGAAAATCTATTCTTGGATCAAAGTACCAGACAACATGCTGCTCCCTACTGCCTGAGAACTGATTTGCAAAGCCAAGCCCGAGAGGGACGCTGTCAGCCGGGATGGAGGGCAGCTTTACTTGCGCCAGTGTCAGGACACCCACCGTGTCAGCCTCAGAGATGTCGCGAGGACACCGCTCCTCGCCCTGGCTCACGGAGGGGATCTCCTGTCTGGCCCTAATACCAGGAATAGCTGTACCCCTCAGCTGGCCTGTTTTTAGCGGACACTAACTGTGTAACAGCCCAGTTTTCCTGTCTGTGCTGCCTGCTAGAAGTCTTTGACCCAAATTTCTGCAAAACGCTCCGAGGATCTGTCATGCTTCACCTCTGAATTTAATTATGCTCCCCGTCATTTCATCGTGACCCCACTGATTTTTGAGCAAAAAGGACACTTATTGGAAGGATTCTGGGGGTATTTATGGAATTATTTCTCTAAAAGAGCTGAAAACTCAGGACTCAGGAAGGGGAGGTACCCACTGGCCCTGGGGCTCCAGCAGCAGGACCGTGTGGACTTTCCATTCCGCCCAGAAAGTTCTTGGTCTCTGTATCTCTCTGCGTGCTGTTCTAAGCTCATTAGATGGTACCTGGTTGGCCTGGTGGGAATCCCTGAGCCACTCAGTGTTGGGGGAGGACCAAGGAGCAGAGGCAGAATGACCAAGAGCCTGGCGAGGAGGGCAGAAAGGTCCAAGGTGAGAGGCAGCCGGCTGTGCACGTCGCCTCCTCTGCTGCCTCAAACAAACACACCTGCAAGCTTCTTGTGTTCCCAAGGTGCCCTCATCAAGCCTCTGTGGTTACCCAAGACACAGGCATAAGTGTGCACATTTCCTCAGTGTCACCCGCAGCCACTGCAGGTGGAGGCCGTGACTGCATTCGAGTTTCTGAGTCCATAGTCGCCCGCTTCTCCTCGAGTTCTGTCCGCACCTTGTCTCTCTAGCCTGTCTCTTAGGCTCTATACACACAGAGCCTAAAGTTTAGCAGGTCCACCACAGATGTTGACACAGAGCATCAACGTTGTCACCTATTAGTAGGAGGAAGCAAGAGAGAAGATGGAAACTATGACGCTGTCATTTCAGAAGGGAAGATGAAAAGGGCAATGGGGGTAACTTGATCTTCAGATGCTCTGAGAATAAGAATGGGGACCCTGATGGCTCTACCTTCTCCACCTGGTCCAACCCACACTGTCTCCACAGCTGTCTTCTGTCTTCACACATCTGTGTCCCTCTTGGAGCTGAAGGAGGGAAAGCAATGAGTTCCTCCACTTCCACTTCCACGTCATCTTCACCTTCCGAGGAGGCCCCTCCGGGTCTCCAGCTGCATGGAAACAAGCCGTGTCCACCCCTGCAGGAGGTCGTCTTCCCACTGGGACTGTACACTTGCCAGTTGCTGCAGTGACCGTGTGGCCCACCAACCGGTACCTCAGGAATTCCAAAGTGGCTGTGTGGTCGTCGCCCTCTCCAGAGCAGTGAATCTGCCCTCCAAAGATTTCCCAACCTGGTTTGGGGTGATGTTGCCTTCGGAGATGAGGAAAGGAAAGTACACACCAATGTGATCTAAAAATTAAGGACTTTTTTTACAAGGCAAAACTATTCTTGTACAGTCAGCGACCTCAACAATGGTTTTGTTCCCCTTGTTCAACTTTGCTCCCTGGTTGGCGAGGATGATTACAAATGCCGCTGTGCGTCCTAAGGGGGCCACTGCTGTAATTCTTGCCTTCTCTGGAAGCTCCATGAGGTGGAAACTGACGCACAGAGACATTAAGTTGTTGCCCAAAAGCCGCACAGCTGATAAGTGGTAGAGCCAGGATCTGAACTCAGCTCGTCTAACTCTCAATCTGCTTTTAACCCAGAGGCTGAGATTCTGCTTTCAGGGCTTTAGGATGTTTCAGCTGTATGAGACGAGAAGGCGGCAGTCTGCCCTGAGCAGAGCTGGGCGTACAGAAGGAGGGGCACTAAGTGTGACGACAACAGCGGCAGCTTAGGGGACTTCGTGGCGCGCAGTCGGGTTCAGTGGCAGCATCTGTGTTTACTGGCTCACACATCTGCCCTTTGGTGCCAGAGCGGAAGCTCTCTGCAGGGAGGGACTCCATTTCCTTGAAGAGTAGCCCTCGGGGGCTAGCCAGACAGCCCGGAGGACGAAAGCAACTGCTTATATGGGAGCAGGGACTGGGGTTCGATCCCCAGTGTGCTGTGTGGGCCCCGTCCCCAGAGCACACTGAGATGTCGATTGAGACTGTGCGTGGTGGCGCGTGCCTGTGATCCCAGCACTTGCGAGGCTGAGAACATGAGGATCACTAAGAGTCTGATCTGTGTAGTGAGACTGTACTAAATACGTTTTTTAAAAAAACAGCAGTCTCAGTGTGCTGGCAAGCACTCAGC